TGCCAAAGCAGGGTGGGTCAGGGCACGGTGGCCACCACCCCCCACCTCCTGCTGCTTTTGCACCCCTAGGCCAGACCCTTTGCTCCCCCATTTCTGCAGGGCTCTTCCCGCTGCTCCCAGATTGTGTGCGTCCAACCTTCTCCCCAGGCTCCCCTAGAGCAGCAGCTCTAGGACATGCCAGGACTCGCAGGGGATGGGAGGGGACAGACAGGGACCCCTGGCTACCGCCCCCTCTCTGTACCAGGTGCTGTTGGTGTGTGCACGATCAACGCCCGCTCTCAGCCTGGGCACTGCTCAGGCAGAGTGCGGCCATGGAGGAGCTGCAACTGAGGTTGGCCATGGCGTGGGGCAGAGGTCCTCAGTGGGGACCTTTCCTGGCCGCCTGCAGGACCATGAGTTACCCCATCTCCATTCAACCGACCCAAGTGACCATGCTTGCTGAGGAGCCCATCCCCTGAGCCCTGCTCGTGGCACAGTGCCACGTCCATCACCCAGCAGCATGGCCACCTTGTCTGGCTTTGCCTACCCAGCAGCATCCACAGACAGTAGTGGTGAAGCCCCTGTGCCCATGGGATGGCCATGCCACCCACCTGCTCCTTGCCTGTGACTGCGACAGCTCTGCCTGCGCATGTGTTCCCAGGACCACTGGGAAGGACCTGTCACTGCATGACTCCGTCACTTTGCTGGTGGTCACCTACCTCCAACCCCGCATCCGTGATTGTTGACCTCTTAAGGCTCATGGACTTGACTCCCTTCTTGGAGAGGGGATAGTTATCAATGAACTCACAAATGTCCAGGTCGGAGACGCCTACGAGGCAGAAGCCATCAAAACCACGGACAGCGAAGCCCTGCAGACTGACAAATTCCTTCTCGCCTCCAGGCAGGATGTTGTAGAGCTCTTTGGTGTGCAGGACGGGCGTTAAGCCCACCCAAAACTTGGGTTGGTAGAGCACCCGCCGCCATGCCTTGCACACCTGTGCCAGCACACACTTCTCACACGCCGAAAAGTACCAGAACAAGCGGTTGAGGATCTTCTCATCCACCGCCAGCTGCCTTTCCGAGGGCGAGCCTTGCAGCCGGTCCGGCGAGGGCTGCTCTGAGCCTTCGCTTGTGTTCAGTCCCACCAAGGAAGCGCTGGGAGGGGAGGAGACGCCGGCCAGAGTGGCCAAGGAGAGTGGGGAGGCCAGGCTGGGGATGGACAGATCGCTGCGGTGGGCTAAGGCCGGGCTGAGGATGGCAGGCACGGAGGAAGGCTGGCACAGGCGGTTTTTCACGGCTGGGGTGCCTTTGGTGATGCTGGCAGAGCCGAGGCCGTTGGGTTGCGTGGGGATCTTCACCAGTCCATTGCGGGGTAAACATGGGGCCTTGGTGTCGCCGTTTCTGGGGTTCGACATCTTCCACGGGTCTCTCTGCAACATAGGGGTGGGGGATGAGGGGCTGCCAGGCTGGAAGACTGGATGGGAAGTGGGGGTGGATGTCATGGTGGGAAGGGAGACCCTGGCAGGGTCCCTATGCAGGGAGCAGGGTAGCAGAAGGGAAGGAGACAGTGCAGAGCTATTGGGCACACCTGCAAAGGACGCATGCCTGGGGCATTGAGCAGGGTCTTCCAAGGGGCTGTGTGGCCCACATGTCCCCCGTGATTGGGAAGCGGGTGGGAATTTGCCCTCAAACTTTCACATTTCTCTCTGAGCCTGGGATCCAGGCATCAATGGGAGATGGAGCAGGATCGTAGAATCATAGACTTGTTTAGGTTGGAAGGGACCATTAAAGGTCACCTCGTCTGGTCTTCCTGCTGTGAGCAGGAACATCTTTAACTAGATCAGGTTGCTCAGAGGCCAGTCCAACCCAACGCTTCCAAGGACGAGTCACCCACTACCTCTCTGGGCAACTCAGTCCAGTGTTTCACTACGCTCGTTGTAAAAAATGTCTTCCTTATATCTGGTCTGAATCTCCCCTCTTTTAGTTTAAAAACATTCCCTCTCATCCTATCAAAACAGGTCCTACTAAAAAGTCCACCCTCATCTTTCTTCTCAGCCTCCTTTAAGTACTGGAAGGTGCTATAAGGTCTTCCTGGAGCCTTCTCTTCTCCAGGCTGAACCTCCAGGCTGACCAACCTCAACCCTCCCAGCCTGTCCTCACAGGGGAGGTGTTCCACCCCTTGATAGTTTTTATGGAGAGGAGAGGAGGCAGTGGTGGAAGGAGATCGGCAATGAGACCGCGCCGGCCGAGAGCCTTGCGGCAGCCGGGCGGCACCCCAGCAAACCAGGCCAATAAATATTTCAGTGGCAGTGAGGCTGGCTTTCCAACAGCCTTGCCGCATCCTGACATCCATTATTCAACGCATTTCCCTCTATAAATACGGAAGTGAATAATTGATGGGGTCTAGGCCCCCCCACACACACT